AGTAATTCAGCAGCAAGAAGGTAAATGTAGCAAGTCATCTACACCTCAGTGCTCTGGCCATGACACTAGATACTGCCTAGCAATGTCCATTCAAGTCTAGATAGGCTTAGACTACAGCAGGCCTAACAATAACCATCTATTCTCTAAATTAGCATTGCCCTGTTCCAGGACAAATATCCAATGCACATGTGGAACTTTTATGGGCATAGATAATCATGGGCTTACTATTGGGAAATCGAACTATCAGGAGCCCAGAATCAGTAGACTTCTTGGGGTGACAAAGAAAGAGACGACCTAAAACCAGCTTTAGAGGTGCACTGGAGCTATTTCTAAGACTACACTTGATTTTCTGCCCTCACCCTTGGACCTCCTTGTCACCTGGAATGCCTGAATCTAGGAGTAGCACGTCTCCTAGCTCATGCATGACTCATTGTGTCATTTAAGTTTGTCAGTCAATGGAAACCAGAAGTCTAGAGTCTCTGTCCAGGATGCTCCCTGGGGAAGCTATTAAGAAGCAGGCAGCCTTGCCAGATGTTTCTATCCAGCTGTCCTAACTGGCATGTCCAAGGGCATCTGCTTATGCTCAGGACCTGGCATGAGGAGAGGGCCCTGGAAGAGTACTCAGAAAGATTTGCCTTCAGTCTTCCTACAATTTTCTCTGGACAACAGGCAGGAGAGGAAACAGACTCAGCTACTAAAAAAGCCACAGGGAAAACCCCAAGGCAATAACTACCTTAAAACAAATAGGTAAAAAGATCTTACACTTTCCCACATGACAAGGCATGTAATTTGCTCTTAGCTCTAGTGGGATAAGTATGGGTTAGTAGAAAACATATCACATTTGAGGGTAGATAATTTGGATCCCAATCCCAACCTGTGCTTAGATATAGGAACTTAAATTCTCCAATAACCTGTCTGACACCCATTTTCTTTACCTGTAAAATGGAAAAAAGTAATTCTTTTCTTACTCTGCTTAGCCTATGGGTAGCCATAAAACATCTGAAAGTACTTTGTGGCCATTACAGAAATGCCAGCTAATAATCTCTTTTTTTTACTATAAAATGTTTAATTTTTAACCATAAATCTCTCACACAAGTTCCAAGCTTGTATTTCACCTACTTGAAAGACTTTCCACTTGATAGGTGAGTGGAGACATGCACGCGGCCCTTCAAGCAGCCAGGTAGTGCCTGGCCCAGCCAGACATCTGGGCAAGGTGGTCCAGCTGCAAGATATTTCTCAGGGAGTAGAACACTGCTTTATACAACATTTCCAATTAATTTCCTACCTGGTCCTCAAACCAAATTTATGGAAAAATCAAATATATACTCTGTTTATAAAATCCTGCTCCTTCTGGCTCATTTTCTCTACCAGCGACATTCATAGTTACAGGCTACAGATGTTTCAGATTGGATATTTCTCTCCCCTCTTCCCTCTTCTTAATCATAATTTTCTTTTCTTTCTGACATCCCAATCCCACATAGACCAAGCTTAAACCTAGCTTGGTTGTGAACCTTGGAACAATGTTCTTCTCCACTCTGGTACTTGGCATTCTCCTCTGTGGAGAAAGAACGCACAACTTACAGATCTGTTAGGAGAATTCGGGAGGACTGCATTTCCCAAATGCACGGCCTACATTAGCTTCCTTCTACCTTCTAGCTAAGCTGAAAGCCTCACTCATGTCCAATAATATGTAAGCCTTTCCCTTTCTCTATTCTCTTCAACCTAGTTTGCTTTCTCCCTGCCCTTATTTCTGCCTAAAAAGTCAGCAGCATCTTTCACTGACTATCTTCCAAAGGGGATGAAGCCTGTTTCTTCTGAACGACAAATTATTCTTGTAGACAGTTTCACAACTCACAAGATGGTTGATATTACTACTGCACATTGTTTATCCCTATGTCATCTCTTTTCATAAATTTTCCTATTATTCTTTACACATTCTGTTTACTCAATAACTAGTCTTCTAGTAGCTGAAGGGAATGGTCATTTAACCAATTAACCAGCGGCTAGTGTCTGGACCTGGCATAAATCAGTGAAGTGGTTCAAATGGAATGGAATGATTTAAACACAGAGTAAGACACCAAAAACACTTCATATTTTATGTGCAGATTTTTTTAATGAACATCTTATAATCTTACAAAATAACTGGCTATAGCTGTTTTACGTTACAATACAGTAGATCAGCTTTCACTATATTTTCAATCAAACTATCCCCTTGGGTGCTAACTGACACACTCAATAGTGATAGCACAGAACAGAAGTGCCAAGTCCAATGCTTTGCAATGCAGGAAAGGGAGAAGAGGCCCCCCAAATAGCTTTGTGCTTCTCTGTTTCATTGGCCAGGACCTACGTGTTCTCCTCACTGAGACCTCTCTTCCGTGTCTCTTTAATTGGAAGCTGTAGGCCCTCCCCAGGCAATGTGAACACCACACCCCTTACTTACTAGAAAAAAGAAGAGACTGAAGATACTGGGGGAAAAGAGACATGAGAGCCTCTGGGAAAGACCCTCAATGGCTCCAGGGGTGGGTAAGAGCAGGTTGCCACACAGAACAGGTGCGGGCTGTTGCCCCTGGTATCTGTGACCACAGTGTTTTAATCTCTTCATTCTGTGAGTGACTTGAGCTCCTCAAAACATGAGGACTTGGGGACCAGGATGGAAGACCACACCACCCATGAACGTCCACAGCTAATCACAGCTGGCTGGCTCACAGTCTGATGAACTTTGCCCACACAACAAGAACTGTCTTCTCACCTTTTCTGGAGCAGTTGTGAACTGCACATGCTGTCATAGGGTGCAAAATATTTTAAGATGAAGTATGACACAGGCTTATGCTGATTCTTACTTTTGAGGAGACTGAAAGAGACACACACAGATGCCAACCACAGGTCCAATGTTCTTGTGGGGGCTACAGTCTCCTTGAGCTGGGCAATGCCCAGGATAGCTCTTCTTCTCCCACAGTTGGAGGCAGGATTGCCCAAGGCAGAGCTTGACACATGCCCAGGAATTTGGATTTGTTCCCCAAGAAAACAATTTTACAATGTGTTTTTTTTTTTCATTTTTGTTTTTTTAAAAATAGAGACTCTAAACTTTTCCACTGTCCTTTCCATTTTATGTCCTATTAGGATCCCAGAAATAAACGTTTCTTGTCTGCCCTGGGCCACTACATGTGACCCAGACAATAAAAGCTATTTAGCATGTAGTTTCCTCTATGGCCAGATAGAGAGGGTGAGATTTCAGATGAGCCAGCACTGCTCTGCCCTTTCCCCAGTGACTCTGCCATCCTCATTCCAGGTACAGATAAAAATGTTTATAAGCCATATGTTTGGAACTTAATTCTGGAATAATATTCTTTCCTACACGATTGGGGGGGGTACTTTATTTATTTATTTATTTATTCATTTGGTACAAGGTCTCACTACACATCTCAGACTCATATTAACCCTCCTGTCTCAGCCTCCCCAGCACTGGGATTACAGGCGTGCACCATCACACCCAGTTTTGATGGGTAGCATGGCTCGTCTGGGATTCCAGGGCTGGCACAGCATGTAGCACTGGAGATTGAACCTGGGGTGATTAGACTGCCAAGCTATCTCCCTAGCCCCCAGCCCCTTGTGGATGCTATTCTGTTGGCAATTAATAACATTTTATTTTCCTTTTTGCAAAGCCATTGCTTCTGGGTTGAAGGGAATTGAAGAGAAACTAGCCAGAGCAAAGAGCAGATGACATGGAGAGATCACTTAGTGCTTTTGTTTTCAACTGGAGAATTAACTTTGAAGGAAATGAGACTCTCTGACCCTTCTTAAGATGATAAGCTAGGGTGCACCCCCAAAACGTTGGATCCTTCCATTTCCCCCTGAAGCCCAATCCAGAAACGTACACGAAAACTATAGTAAGACAACATGCAAAACAAGAAAAATGAGCCTGAGATGCAAAGAGAGGCAGGTTAATCGGGTCTCTTCAGGTGCAGTCCATACACTGGATGAGGAGTAAGATAAGGAAATGGATCCCAGACAGTTGAAATTCTTCTTTCTTCCCACAGAGTGTCACCCTTGCTCCATGAATTTCCATAACTTGGCTAAACTGAAATCTCTGGGTCACAGACTGCAGGCATTGCTGTTGAATAGAATTCTACACTGCTCCAAGGATCTTCTTTGGTCTTCTGGAGACTTGGACTTGAATCTCCCAGACTCATGCTGTTCTCTTACTCAGCCCTGATTTATTCCTGACCTCCTACCTCTCTGTAACCTCCTTTGACTCCTCCGCTCTGCTTGTTTTTCATCTTTTCCCATTTTTCTCCTGTGTCATTTGCAAAACATTATTCCTCAGAAAATAAACAACTGACAATGTGGTTTTGACTGATGGCCAGGCATTGGTACTTTTGACAAGCAGGGAGGCCACAGGCCAAGGGTGAAGGATGCATAAATCCTATGATCCAGGTACTTGGAGAACAAACCTTCACACAAACTTGTTGACTGGGGGAATGACAACTATGATTAGAATAACCTCATATGGGAGTGGAGAAGATCCTGGGTCTCACCAACTTTAAGTTTGAAGAAGTATGGAGAAGTTAATAAATTCCTTCTTGATAGATATTCAAACATCATTTTCTAACTCTTCCGAACCCATCAGCCATGGGTACCAACACCCAACCTTCTATTTCTTGGTATCACCATCCCAATTGCCATCTCCTTCAAGTGGTCCTGGCCCCCAAGTCATAGAAATAACTGGCTGACATGTTAACATCCATAATTCCACCTCATCTCTTCCTGGCTCCTTCTCCATTCAATCTGCCAGTCTCTATTCACAGAGAGATGGCAGAACTTGGCTTTCTGTTCTCAAAGCCTCAGCATCCATTTAGGACATGAACTTCACAGCAGCACGTGTGGAACAATGGATAAGTTTTAGCTTAGTAAACAGCCAAAAATATAATATATAATATATTTATATAATTATGTTTAAATACTTATAAAGAATTAATAACTAACCTCATTATTTAAGAGAGACTACATAAAAGAAAGGGGAAGGGCCAGATTTAGTCAACAAGCCCAGAAAGAAGACAATCCATTTGAAATGGTTATTAACAGAGTGTCCCTGGCAACTTCTCTTCTAGTATGTTGATAATGGTTTGCACAATGGGCGAGGCTGAGTAGCTGACAAAGTACAGAGTAGGGGGTAGCGCAAGAGCTAGGGTGGGGCCAAGTAGTATATAGGTGGGGAAAGAGGGTCCTTGATTTTCTATCACATCTCTCCTTCCTGTGTTAATCAATTGCCACATTAAAGAAACTTTGCCTATTGTTCTTCCCCACATGAGCTACTGGATGCGTTGGTTGGCACCTATAAAAATATACTCTTGCATTTCTGAAAGATCCTTCACACCTCTGCTTCCTTCATTTCACACCCTTTCTTCCTTCTTCACCCTTTGCCTCCTTCCACGGAAACTTCTCTCTCTGACTGCCTCCAGGGCAGGTGAGGGAGGAGCCCGGCCCCACAGTTACTGATTTTCTTCTGCCTTGGGGTCTAGGCAGGTGCATTCGTCCTGGTCACAGTCAGCAGCAAACGGAGTCACCTACAGGAATGGAAGAGAAGTTGAAATAACCCAGTTTTAGCCAGAAGCTTGATCATTTTCAACCAATTTTCACTTGGTCCCAGAGGAAGGGTGGGATTATCTTAGATTTGAAGTTAGCACTGGGCACTCTTACTTACATACCTTGTCACTTGGGGCAAGAGGAACCTTCTTGCTCCACTTTCTTTGTAAACAGAATGAGAAAGACAAGATCAATTGCCCCTGGAGAGTGTTTGTGTGGTTTAAGTAAACTGATAGATGTAAGACATTTGTATTTTGCCAGACACCCAAAACTACTGTTAGGGATACTTTGACTGTCATTATTTCTGTTGCTGTTAATATCTTTATGAAATTCCTGCTCCAAACATTTCCCAGTATAGGAAAGGCCAACGTTTAAGTAATTTAATCCAGGATAATGACAGTACTACATAAAAGCCAAGACCCTATAGCACAGATTTGTACTCCCACTCCCCCTGTTCTTAGGATAGTAGGGTTAGGTTTTTAGATTGGTAAGATAATGCATCTCTCATCCATTGTTTGTAGCTGTCTTACCTTTCTTCTGTGTAGCTATCCCTCTCCCATGCCAGAGAAGGTCTAGCAAAAGTTGCTATCGTCTCACTTATATTTCTTCTAAAATAAGCACTAATTTTCATGTGTTCATATCTAACATCAAGGAGAAATTCCCATATTGGAAAATGATATAAATGTGACAAAGATTCTACGTTTTGGATGTGACAAAATGACAAGCTAAAAATAAACAGGCCTATCACATACAGTACTGTTCCAAGTAAGAAGGGAAGAAGGGAGAGGCTTGGTGGGTTGGTGAATGGGTGGGGTTGTTTGGGAAAATCTCCCAGCATATTTACACATATGAAGTAAAATGTGATTCAGTCATTAACAGAGTAGCAAAGTCCTTTCCAGTCTTGATTCTTATGTACATTGACCACAGGCATTGACAGTCACTAAAGCCGAACCTCAAGTTTTGAGTACAAGATAGGAAGACAATTGCTTGCTTTCTTCCCAAGTGATCATGTGTCCTTTTGCAGACATGGTTTTCTTGATGACTTAGTTTTACAAGCAAGACCAGAAACTAGCTGGCCTGATTTCTGACCTGTGGTCCAAGCTCTTGAACTGTTTCTCTTTTTTGGGAGATTTATTGTTTTTTTTTTTTTAGAGCTAAACATTGCCAAATTCAATAATATGATGAACTCCTAGGTGCACTGAATTAAGTAAGTTAAGTTATGAAAGTGGTGAGAATAAAGCCAAGCAAGAGTGAATGATCAGTAACTGTTAGCAAGAAAGAGATGTAGTATTCAGGTTCTAATCTAAGTGATCATGGTAGATAGAGTTTTGTTGTGGGGACCTCTACAGGGAAGGAAATAACATCTGCCTACTTTTGATTCATCAAATTGGCCAACTAACTTCAAGTATCTTTGAGTACTTGGATTTTCACCCATAATATTACACAACTTTAACCTATTCAATTTTACAGACTCAACTTGAGCCTATCTACTAAATTAATAGAGCCAGGATGATAGGGATATAAAACATCAAGAAAAGGATTACTGCTCAGGACATAGTCCAAGGAGTGCTCCAGGTGGCTTTTGACAGCCATGCAAAATATGCCTACAATATATTTATTTAATTATTTTTAAGACTATTTAATTATGAGGATGAATAATAACTGAATAGCATTTCATTGGTAACCTAGAATCTTTGAGGGCTAGACTATTATTTTTGTGGCTAATTACAAGTTTTTTGGACCACCTTAAGCAGGTATGAGGCTTTCAGTAGAAAAAAAGTCACTGATTTTCTGGTAGATTGACAATTTAGAAAACTAGCATTTCCTAAGAAGCTGTGCTACACACCAATACCCTTAATCCTGGTACTTTACAATCTCCAATTATACTTCTCCATTCTCTCTGAGCTTTGCGTAAGAAACAAGTATGAGACCCCAAGAAGGAGCAATAATCAAGAGCCTGCCTTAGTTCCTGGAGCTACTGGCTCTCCCCTTTCCCCAGCTCCCTCACTTACCTTTTTGGAGGAGAGTGTGGAAGAGCAGCAGTCTCCTCCATCATAGTTGCAGTAGGCGCGGTTGTTAATGGTGTCACACCAACCATCTGCCTGGAAAGGCTGTAAGGGGGCTGGAGTCAGTGGACAGCTTCTCCATGCTTCGTCCTATTTATCCCTCTCACCCACTGCCATCCACTCACACTCTACCACCCATTCACAAAATCCAAGGGATAGGAGATGTTCACAAGAAGTTGAAAATCTTAAGATAAAGCCACTTGGATTGTCAAATTTTGCCTTAGCACCTGATCCTGGCCTATGCTAAGGGTCAGGATGAGTCATCAAATGCCTTCATCAATTTTTTTGGCTTCTCTCAATAAGAAATTTTTATAGTACACAGATTATAGTATTTCACATAATTAAAATTCTATTGTCTATCAGAAAATAAACTATGTACTAGTTAAGATTGAAATCTTTTTTTTTTAATTGAGTAAAGGTCTCACTATGTAGTTCAGGCTGGCCTCAAACTCACAGTAATCCTCTTACCTCAAGAGTTATGGGGCTGGAATTACAGGTTTTCTCCTCCCTGCCTCTCAGGATTGGCTTTAAACACCCCAATTTATCAGTGTGTGAACAGGGATGCACAGACATGACAAGTCGCACAGCCAGGTCACACAGAGCTTGGTGTTAGGTGCCATCTGTCTTGGCTTTGTGGGTTTCTGAAAAACCACAGCCTTTAGCCCTTCTCCTGGTGCACTGATGACTGGCGCTTAGAAACCCTAGCAGTGTAGCCCTTGTGTGGAGTGAAGACTCAAGTTATGTCTACCCAGAGTTCAGTGATCTTAGGGTTGATCACAGAAGTGCTGGAACAGAAATATTCCCATGTGTGCAGCTACATGATGTACAGCAGCTAGACACAGAGTCAGATACATACAGCTAAACCACTTCCACCTCCTCTTCCGTAAGTTAACAGGAACTGAAATATGAAAGGGGCCCAGAAGAAACCATAGTAAATGGAGTGTTTCACCCCAAAAGGGAATGTGTGATAGGAATAGCCACAAGTAGTTAAAAATTATCGAAGGAGCCTAATTCTTCATTTCTGCAGAGAACTAGCTGTGGAGCAAAACACTGACCCACAGCATGCTGGGAGGTCTATCCGCACCACCCCTCAAATACACACACTCAATAACATTGGCTGCCCACTCTTCTGAGCTAAACCCTCTGGAAATGTCTTACAAAGAACCTCCAGGGGTCCCAGAACTCTACAGTTCAGAGGTCACATTCCAGTTTGTTTGTTGAAATCACTTTTCCTGGCCCCACCCTCTTTAAATGTTAGGTGGAAGACTATTCTCTATTTCACTGTGCTTTGATAAAATAGATCACTCAACTAGAAAGTGGACATTAAATAATTCTCAGCAATTGAGTTACATCAGAACAAGCTCATCCAAGTTATTACTTCAATGTTTTGATATATTCTATGGGGTCCTGAGGTCATTTGAGCATCTCATTCCAGATGTATACCAGTTTGCCAACCACTGAAAAGCTGCTACTTGTGGGGTGGAACTCAACAGCTGCTGCACAGCTGTACAGCAATATCAGTTGAGGGCAGGAAGTGAAAATGAATTCTGTTTTCAACACAGGCCTGAGTGGGGTAAAAGACAAAGATTGTAGGGTGGGCCGCAGTCTTTCACACAGTTAAAGCTAGTGACTCTGGCATTAGAGAACTTGGAACATCTATACAATCAAGACCAGGCTTCAAAATTATAGTCAAATAATTGCAGTCAAAACAACCAGGAGGCTGGCCAAATAACTCAGCAGATTAAAACAACTGCAAGCAGGCTCAGGGGCCAGGGGTTCAGTCCCTGAACCTGCCATGCCAGCTCTGTCCCCGGGGTGTGCTGAGATGGCAATTGAGACTGGATGTGGTGGAGTGTGCCTGTAATCCCAGCTCTTGGGAGGCTGTAAACAGATGGATCACTACAAGTCCAATCTAGTAGTGAGATCCTGTAAAGCCTGCAGACCCTTCCCTAAAATGCAAAAAAAAATAAAAAAGAAGAAGAAAGAAAGAAAGAAAGAAAGAAAGAAAGAAAGAAAGAAAGAAAGAAAGAAAACCACAACCCAGACATCCTTATCATCTCACGAGTCCTTCCAGAGAGGATCGGAAACATCTAGTAAGCTTTCCTAGTCTTCCCTTCCTCCTTCAAGTATTTGGAGAATATTTTACTCATCTAACACTACATCCATTATTTTTCCCCTAACTTTGACACACTCAATGGCAAAACTTAATTTTTTTTTCCTTTTCCATGTCATTGTCTATAAATATCCATAGAGTACCAGAAGTACTTTTCCTACATATGTAAGTATGTGCTTAAAGAAGGGTAAGGATAAAGTTATGTTACTGCTCACAAGAATGACCCACACTTTTGAATGGGTTCAGTAAAGAATCATGAGAAATTTTTGCATTGTCTTCAGCATGGAGTACTACTGAAGCTATGTTGAAAAATGAGTGATTGGTCTCTCTGAGACCCTCACTATGTTCCACAAGGCTTTGACTGCAATGATTCAAATAAATTCTAGAAGCATTTTCTTTTCTTAGCAAATGGGCTTAATAGTTCATCTGAGTAGAGAATGGAATTTACTTTTTAAAAAAAATTTCATAAAGACCCAAGCATTTAATATACAATATACCTATTAGACTTAACTGCTCCTCCCACAACCTGCCAAAAACAACTGCTCCACTCTCAACAAACAGAGTTTCTATGGCAACATATGCCTGGAAAGCTAGACAGCTAGAAATGAAAGTAGCAACGGTAAAAATAGAAAGGGAAAACTAATTGATCCAAAATTCGAAAACATCTGAAGACTCATCATAGGGTAGCATATGCGAATCTCAACAACTGTAAGTGGCAGGCCAGAGGCAACATTCCTCGTGCAGGAAGCTTCCTCAAGAGACGGTGCAGGGCTTGGATGCTAGGCAAGCCATGCCCCTGGGGGTTGCATGCCCACATGCACACACCTGCTGTGCAGTCCACAGCAGTGGAGGAAAAGTGTGTCACATAAGTGCATTTTTAAAATTCAGAGGCTTATTGTTTTACGGGTTACTTTTTATTGACATATTAGCCATTTTGATAAAATAAAACATCTTTTTATTTTATTTGTTTATTTTATTGAGAAACAGATAGCAATGAGACAATTTCAAAACCTATTAATGAGACAGTTTCAATAGCTAATACATTGCATATTGTCTTCTTAGTGGTTATTCATAGTACAAGACGCAGACATGCTATCCTGTCCAAACACTATTAGTACAAATCTTTCTTCTCATCGAATTGAGAAAGCAGCTGTACATCTGTCCTAATTATTCTGTGTATACAGATACAAAATGGTCCTTCATTTGTATCCCTTTTTGTCTAGTTTTGTCAGAGATAGGTATTCCATTGCCATTTGAATACTGTAGGTGCGTAAAATGTCTTTTTAAATGTCTGCTTGTTTACATTTTATCCACTTACTGAACACAAAGTAATAAGCATGAAATTTATTATTTTCACTACAAGAGAAAGCAAGGCTCTCCCTTTACTAAATGCGCCTCCTGTTGTGAGCTCTGACAGGCATGTGCTCTCTCGCTCTTGCTCTCTCTCTCTGCCCCTCTCTCTCTCTCTCTCTCTCTCTCTCTGTCTCTCTCTGTTTCTTTCTCTGTCTCTCTCTCTTGCTGTCTCTCTGTCTCTCAGTCTGTCTCTGTCTCTGTCTCTCTCTGTCTCTTTCTCCGTCTCTGTCTTTGTCTGTCTCTCTGTCTCTCTGTCTGTCTCTCTGTCTCTCTATCTGTCTCTGTTTCTCTGTCTCTCTGTCTGTCTCTTTCTTTGTCTCTGTCTCTGTCTATCTCTGTCTCTCTGTCTGTCTCTTTCTCCATCTATGTCTCTGTCTGTCTCTGTCTCTCTGCCTTTCTGTCTCTCTGTCTCCCTGTCTCTCTCTCTCTGTCTCTATCTCTCTGACTAATCTTTGAGATAGAAATGCAAGCCTTAGAATTACAGATAAAGTAAATACCCGCATATGAGAGAGAGCTTGCTGATGCATGCGCTTTGTGATCCCTCATTTGTTGTTACAAAGCTTGCCATGCCAGCCTCGAGGTGTTCACTATATTCCAGGAAGCTTAAATGGTAAAACAGTGGGCTATGTGTGCCTGACAGAACACTGAGAGGAAAGATGGTCCTTCTGCACCTCTCACCACTTTGACAACTTTCTAAGTGCAAGTATAACTTCATATATATATTCCCTGTATTTTCGGGCAGGGTCTACAGGGTGTTCAGGGTCTCACTACTGATCAGACTCATAGTGATTCTCCTGTTTACAGCCTCCCAAGAGCTGGGAGTACAGGCACACACCACCACACCCAGTCTCAGTTGCTGTTTCAGCGTGCCCTGGGGACAGGGCTGGCATGGCAGGCCGGGGGATTGAATCCCCCTGGCCCCTGCACCTGCTTGCAGTCACTTCAATCCGCTGAGCTATTTGGTCTGCCCTTCTTCTTTATATATTAATGACTTTATCCCAGGACAAGGTTTCTTATAATAGGACAAACTCAGCCCTCTTTAACCTAGCGATGTTTTCTGTTTTAAGCTTCTCTGCTAGAAGAGATGTGGTGGCTCTTTTGGTTGGCTATTGGTTGCAGTCATTCATTCCATAACTCAACATTCTTCATTCTTTATCCTATGACTATGTGTCCCAGTACTGAGATGGGGATCCAGGGATAATGAAAACACGCTTCCAACCCTTGAGCAAGCACAGGGTAAGCAATTTTAGCTCAGCGTTATAACTCAGTGCTAGGATCAAGATGTAGACCAATGAGAACAATCTAATCCAGATTTTTCAGGTGAGGGAAATCCGCTTTTAGTGGTTGGTTCTGCTGTGGAGAACTGAATCCCCTCTAGAGAAGAGCTTAGGAGAGGATAATGCTGACGGGGAGAAAAGTCTGAGATAACTAAGAAGAAAAGGATGCACTAGATTGGTTCTGTATAGCCTATCACAGCGCTCACCCTCAGGGAGGGTACCACAAACTGTGACTGATTGATAGCACTACATCTCCCTTGCTTGAGTCAAATTATGGCATTTTTCCTCTAGATCTTTTAATA